CTAGAAATAAAATATACCTCTCCATTTTCAGACATTTTTGAGAAGGCTCCAGGAGCCACTCGAGGGGCACTAAAGAGCCGCATGCGGCTCCGGAGCCTAATCAGATTTAGATTCAGATTCATTTATTTGCCATTTGCAGTAAAACCACATTGGAAAAACTGTGCAAGACTACCCCGGTGTGCACCAGACAGAGAAGACGACACACACCAGAGCTCTTGCCACGGCGCCATCTTTACGGCGCCATGCTGTAAAGATAATCAGTTATTATCATAGATCCATGGGACTGTGCCTCTGGCTAACAGTAAAACACACTTCTCACACTGCTCTGCTACAGTTACTACAACATTAAACCACGCCCTCCTTTTGGCCCCGCCCCCCTGTTCTCCGAGGTACAGGACGTGAACTTCCCCTTTAAGAACCGCATAGATCTTCACTGAGTCTGAGTCCAAATGCTTATGTCCCTGTGCTGTCCTCTCACGTGTCCCTGTGCTGTCCTCTCACGTGTCCCTGTGCTGTCCTCACATGTGTCCCTGTGCTGTCCTCACATGTGTCCCTGTACTGTCCTCACACGTGTCCCTGTGCTGTCCTCTCATGTGTCCCTGTGCTGTCCTCTCACCTGTCCCTGTGCTGTCCTCTCATGTGTCCCTGTGCTGTCCTCACACGTGTCCCTGTGCTGTCCTCTCACCTGTCCCTGTGCTGTCCTCTCATGTGTCCCTGTGCTGTCCTCTCACCTGTCCCTGTGCTGTACTCACACGTGTCCCTGTGCTGTCCTTTCATGTGTCCCTGTGCTGTCCTCACATGTGTCCCTGTGCTGTCCTCACACGTGTCCCTGTGCTGTCCTCACACGTGTCCCTGTGCTGTCCTCTCACGTGTCCCTGTGCTGTCCTCACACGTGTCCCTGTGCTGTCCTCTCACGTGTCCCTGTGCTGTCCTCACACGTGTCCCTGTGCTGTCCTCACACGTGTCCCTGTGCTGTCCTCACACGTGTCCCTGTGCTGTCCTCACACGTGTCCCTGTGCTGTCCTCTCATGTGTCCCTGTGCTGTCCTTTCATGTGTCCCTGTGCTGTCCTCACACGTGTCCCTGTGCTGTCCTCACACGTGTCCCTGTGCTGTCCTCACACGTGTCCCTGTGCTGTCCTCACACGTGTCCCTGTGCTGTCCTCACACGTGTCCCTGTGCTGTCCTCTCATGTGTCCCTGTGCTGTCCTCACACGTGTCCCTGTGCTGTCCTCACACGTGTCCCTGTGCTGTCCTCACACGTGTCCCTGTGCTGTCCTCACACGTGTCCCTGTGCTGTCCTCACACGTGTCCCTGTGCTGTCCTCACACGTGTCCCTGTGCTGTCCTCTCATGTGTCCCTGTGCTGTCCTTTCATGTGTCCCTGTGTTGTCCTCACATGTGTCCCTGTGCTGTCCTCACACGTGTCCCTGTGCTGTCCTCACATGTGTCCCTGTGCTGTCCTCACATGTGTCCCTGTGCTGTCCTCACATGTGTCCCTGTGCTGTCCTCACACGTGTCCCTGTGCTGTCCTCTCACGTGTCCCTGTACTGTCCTCACATGTGTCCCTGTGCTGTCCTCTCACGTGTCCCTGTGCTGTCCTCACATGTGTCCCTGTGCTGTCCTCACATGTGTCCCTGTGCTGTCCTCACACGTGTCCCTGTGCTGTCCTCACACGTGTCCCTGTGCTGTCCTCACACGTGTCCCTGTGCTGTCCTCACATGTGTCCCTGTGCTCTCCTCACACGTGTCCCTGTGCTGTCCTCACATGTGTCCCTGTGCTGTCCTCACACGTGTCCCTGTGCTGTCCTCACACGTGTCCCTGTGCTGTCCTCACACGTGTCCCTGTGCTGTCCTCACATGTGTCCCTGTGCTCTCCTCACACGTGTCCCTGTGCTGTCCTCACACGTGTCCCTGTGCTGTCCTCACATGTGTCCCTGTGCGATCGTCGCACGTGCCCCGGGGCAGACTGCTCCCATTGTGTCAGCCCCATCAGCCTCTGCTCCTGAACGACGTGTCTCTGTTTGTTCTTCACACAGAGCTGCACATGATGAAAGAGTGAAAAGGAGACAGAGTGAAAAGGAGACAGAGTGAAAAGGAGACAGAGTGAAAAGGTGACAGAGTGAAAAGGTGACAGAGTGAAAAGGAGACAGAGTGAAAAGGAGACAGAGTGAAAAGGAGACAGAGTGAAAAGGAGACAGAGTGAAAAGGAGACAGAGTGAAAAGGAGACAGAGTGAAAAGGAGACAGAGTGAAAAGGAGACAGAGTGAAAAGGAGACAGAGTGAAAAGGAGACAGAGTGAAAAGGAGACAGAGTGAAAAGGTGACAGAGTGAAAAGGAGACAGAGTGAAAAGGTGACAGAGTGAAAAGGTGACAGAGTGAAAAGGAGACAGAGTGAAAAGGAGACAGAGTGAAAAGGAGACAGAGTGAAAAGGAGACAGAGTGAAAAGGAGACAGAGTGAAAAGGAGACAGAGTGAAAAGGAGACAGAGTGAAAAGGTGACAGAGTGAAAAGGTGACAGAGTGAAAAGGAGACAGAGTGAAAAGGTGACAGAGTGAAAAGGTGGAGCGTTGTCTCTGGTGATGGTAGTTTAGGAGAAGGGTAAAGAGCCTGGAACGAGGCGGAGATGGGGAGGAGGAGGGTTGTGGCATGAAAGGAGCTTCCTTAAGATATGAAGCTGATGCCGGCAGTACCTGATGCTGCCAGGAGAGGGCAGTGTCACAGACACAGGTGCGGTTGCTGTGAAGGTTTTAGGGAGAGACAGACGACGTTTCTTCTGAGTCGATGTCAAAGTTTTCCATGTTTTAAAAATAACAATATTTTATAAAAGAGTTCCACCTTTAGGTTCTTACAGATACTAGGAACTCTGGTCACAGTAAAAGTCACACATCGTTATGATATCATACTGCAGTAAAAGTATCGTTACGAGATCATACTGCAGTAAAAGGATCGGTACGAGATGGTACTGCAGTAAAAGTATCTGTACGAGATCGTACTGCAGTAAAAGGATCGGTACGAGAGTGTACTGCAGTAAAAGTATCTGTACAAGATGGTACTGCAGTAAAAGTATCGGTACGAGATCGTACTGCAGTAAAAGTATCTGTACGAGATCGTACTGCAGTAAAAGTATCGGTACAAGAGTGTACTGCAGTAAAAGTATCTGTACAAGATCGTACTGCAGTAAAAGTATCTGTACGAGATCGTACTGCAGTAAAAGTATCTGTACGAGATCGTACTGCAGTAAAAGTATCTGTACGAGATCGTACTGCAGTAAAAGGATCGGTACGAGATCGTACTGCAGTAAAAGTATCGGTACGAGATTGTACTGCAGTAAAAGTATCTGTACGAGATCATACTGCAGTAAAAGGATTGGTACGAGAGTGTACTGCAGTAAAAGTATCTGTACAAGATCGTACTGCAGTAAAAGGATCGGTACGAGAGTGTACTGCAGTAAAAGTATCTGTACAAGATCGTACTGCAGTAAAAGGATCGGTACGAGAGTGTACTGCAGTAAAAGTATCTGTACAAGATGGTACTGCAGTAAAAGTATCGGTACGAGATTGTACTGCAGTAAAAGTATCTGTACAAGATCGTACTGCAGTAAAAGTATCTGTACGAGATCGTACTGCAGTAAAAGTATCGGTACGAGATCGTACTGCAGTAAAAGTATCGGTACGAGATTGTACTGCAGTAAAAGTATCTGTACGAGATGGTACTGCAGTAAAAGTATCTGTACGAGATCGTACTGCAGTAAAAGTATTGGTACGAGATCGTACTGCAGTAAAAGTATCGGTACGAGATTGTACTGCAGTAAAAGTATCTGTACGAGATGGTACTGCAGTAAAAGTATCGGTAAGAGATCGTACTGCAGTAAAAGTATTGGTACGAGATTGTACTGCAGTAAAAGTATCTGTACGAGATCGTACTGCAGTAAAAGTATCTGTACGAGATCGTACTGCAGTAAAAGTATCTGTAAGAGATGGTACTGCAGTAAAAGTATCTGTAAGAGATGGTACTGCAGTAAAAGTATCTGTACGAGATGGTACTGCAGTAAAAGTATCGTTACGAGATGGTACTGCAGTAAAAGTATCTGTACGAGATCATACTGCAGTAAAAATATCTGTACAAGATTGTACTGCAGTAAAAGTATCTGTACGAGATCGTACTGCAGTAAAAGTATCTGTACGAGATCGTACTCCAGTAAAAGTATCTGTACGAGATCGTACTGCAGTAAAAGTATCGGTACGAGATCGTACTGCAGTAAAAGTATCTGTACGAGATCGTACTGCAGTAAAAGTATCTGTACGAGATGGTACTGCAGTAAAAGTATCTGTACGAGATGGTACTGCAGTAAAAGTATCGTTACGAGATGGTACTGCAGTAAAAGAATCTGTACGAGATCGTACTGCAGTAAAAGTATCGTTACGAGATCGTACTGCAGTAAAAGTATCTGTACGAGATGGTACTGCAGTAAAAGTATCTGTACGAGATGGTACTGCAGTAAAAGTATCTGTACGAGATGGTACTGCAGTAAAAGTATCTGTACGAGATCGTGCTGCAGTAAAAGGATCGGTACGAGATCGTACTGCAGTAAAAGTATCTGTACGAGATGGTACTGCAGTAAAAGTATCTGTACGAGATTGTACTGCAGTAAAAGTATCTGTACGAGATGGTACTGCAGTAAAAGTATCCGTACCAGATCGTACTGCAGTAAAAGTATCTGTACGAGATCGTACTGCAGTAAAAGTATCTGTACGAGATCGTACTGCAGTAAAAGTATCTGTACGAGATCGTACTGCAGTAAAAGTATCTGTACGAGATGGTACTGCAGTAAAAGTATCTGTACGAGATGGTACTGCAGTAAAAGTATCGTTACGAGATGGTACTGCAGTAAAAGAATCTGTACGAGATCGTACTGCAGTAAAAGTATCGTTACGAGATCGTACTGCAGTAAAAGTATCTGTACGAGATGGTACTGCAGTAAAAGTATCTGTACGAGATGGTACTGCAGTAAAAGTATCTGTACGAGATGGTACTGCAGTAAAAGTATCTGTACGAGATCGTGCTGCAGTAAAAGGATCGGTACGAGATCGTACTGCAGTAAAAGTATCTGTACGAGATGGTACTGCAGTAAAAGTATCTGTACGAGATTGTACTGCAGTAAAAGTATCTGTACGAGATGGTACTGCAGTAAAAGTATCCGTACGAGATCGTACTGCAGTAAAAGTATCTGTACGAGATCGTACTGCAGTAAAAGTATCTGTACGAGATCGTACTGCAGTAAAAGTATAGGTACGAGATCGTACTGCAGTAAAAGTATCGGTACGAGATTGTACTGCAGTAAAAGTATCTGTACGAGATGGTACTGCAGTAAAAGTATCGGTAAGAGATCGTACTGCAGTAAAAGTCTTGGTACGAGATTGTACTGCAGTAAAAGTATCTGTACGAGATCGTACTGCAGTAAAAGTATCTGTACGAGATCGTACTGCAGTAAAAGTATCTGTAAGAGATGGTACTGCAGTAAAGGTATCTGTAAGAGATGGTACTGCAGTAAAAGTATCTGTACGAGATGGTACTGCAGAAAAAGTATCGTTACGAGATGGTACTGCAGTAAAAGTATCTGTACGAGATCATACTGCAGTAAAAATATCTGTACGAGATCGTACTGCAGTAAAAGTATCTGTACGAGATGGTACTGCAGTAAAAGTATCCGTACGAGATCGTACTGCAGTAAAAGTATCTGTACGAGATCGTACTGCAGTAAAAGTATCTGTACGAGATCGTACTGCAGTAAAAGTATCTGTAAGAGATGGTACTGCAGTAAAAGTATCTGTAAGAGATGGTACTGCAGTAAAAGTATCTGTACGAGATGGTACTGCAGAAAAAGTATCGTTACGAGATGGTACTGCAGTAAAAGTATTTGTACGAGATCATACTGCAGTAAAAATATCTGTACGAGATCGTACTGCAGTAAAAGTATCTGTACGAGATGGTACTGCAGTAAAAGTATCCGTACGAGATCGTACTGCAGTAAAAGTATCTGTACGAGATCGTACTGCAGTAAAAGTATCTGTACGAGATCGTACTGCAGTAAAAGTATTGGTACGAGATCGTACTGCAGTAAAAGTATCGGTACGAGATTGTACTGCAGTAAAAGTATCTGTACGAGATGGTACTGCAGTAAAAGTATCGGTAAGAGATCGTACTGCAGTAAAAGTCTTGGTACGAGATTGTACTGCAGTAAAAGTATCTGTACGAGATGGTACTGCAGTAAAAGTATCGGTAAGAGATCGTACTGCAGTAAAAGTCTTGGTACGAGATTGTACTGCAGTAAAAGTATCTGTACGAGATCGTACTGCAGTAAAAGTATCTGTACGAGATCGTACTGCAGTAAAAGTATCTGTAAGAGATGGTACTGCAGTAAAAGTATCTGTAAGAGATGGTACTGCAGTAAAAGTATCTGTACGAGATGGTACTGCAGAAAAAGTATCGTTACGAGATGGTACTGCAGTAAAAGTATCTGTACGAGATCATACTGCAGTAAAAATATCTGTACGAGATCGTACTGTAGTAAAAGTATCTGTACAAGATCGTACTGTAGTAAAAGTATCTGTACGAGATGGTACTGCAGTAAAAGTATCGTTACGAGATTGTACTGCAGTAAAAGTATCTGTACGAGATCGTACTGCAGTAAAAGTATCTGTACGAGATCGTACTGCAGTAAAAGTATTTCAGTTTGAAACAGAATTTAAATAATGGACCAAACATGTAGAATTAAAGATACAGCTCGTTATGAAAGTGATGTGAATTTAGAAGCACGGCTAATCTCATACATTGTCTTTATACTAAATAAAAACATATTGTGGCAGTGGTTCCCACAGTGGGGTTCCCACAGTGGGGTTCCCACAGTGGGGTTCCCACAGTGGGGTTCCCACAGTGGGGTTCCCACAGTGGGGTTCCCACAGTGGGGTTCCCACAGTGGCTAAAACTTAAAAGTGATAAGAGATAC